GTACCAAGCTGTGTTGTTGGAGCAGGATGATGTTACCCTGAAAACAACGTCCATTGTAAATCCTGCTGTGTTCCTGTCCTCAATATGGACTGACAGTGTGCCTGAGCATGACTGTTTGCAGACCATCAGAGGAGACTCTATTCCAGCAGACCGGACCTGAAGGATGTGCCTCTGGAAAACCCAGACTGGGAACTGCCCACGGACAGAAGCAGCTTGGGGGATGGTAAGCGGATGATGGAATACGCAGTGACAACAAGGACAAGGTAACTGAGGGGAAGGCCTTGCCTGCTGATGTGTCATCCCAAAAAGCAGAACTGATTGCCCTGATATCACGGGTGGGGTTCGGCCCCGTGATCGACCCTAGCGCACATCTTGTATAGGGAAGAGCCCCAGATAGGTGACTCACAAAATGGCTCTTTATTAAAACAAGGTTTCAGTTTATATAGAGGGTACATAGAAGGGTCCCGAACAAGGGTGGGATTCTTGCCAGAGGCACGAATCCTGAGGGTCAGAGATAAGGGAAGATGGAGGGATTGGCTGCAGGGATATGCCCAGCCATATAGGGAGATTTGGGAGTTAGGGAAGGAGGGGAAGGAATGGCAAGGGGGGCACAGATAGGGGGGTCCTGCAGGGGTCTGTGGAAGCGGTGTCTTATCGCTGGATCTCAGGCGCTTCCTGCAGTTGCAGCTGTCAGAGCACCTCTAGATCGATTTCTTCCTCTGAGGTTTCTTCGTAGCCTTTCTGTATCTGTCTCCATTCTCTGTAGGCCTCTGCTGGTCCACTCCCGACACCCTGACAAGAGCTCTAGAGCTGAGCCAAAGGAAAGAAGGTGAATATTTGGACTGATTCTAAATATGCCTTCAGTGTTGTACGTGCCCATGGAGCCATCTGGAAGGAGAGAGGGCTATTAACTGCCCAAGGCAGTGTGAGCAAACATGCAGACCAAATCCATGCACTCCTGGAAAGTGTTTGGAAGCCAGAAGAAGTGTCTGTCATGCATTGCAGAGCTCATCAGAACAGAAAAACAATTCCACAGTTGGGAAATCATTTTGCTGAGCAGGCAGCGAAAGGGGCTGCAGAAAAAGGCATCCTGACAGTAGTATCACAAAAAGAGATTGATTTGACGGGGTTCAAACCAAAATATGATGAGAGACACCACTAGTTAATTAAGTCCCTTAAAGCTGACATCAAAGAAACAAAGAAAGAAGAAGGTGAAGTCAAAGAACAACACTGATCCAACCAAAAGGGTGATGCTGGGGTAACAAAGGCTGGGGAGGGATTATTGGCACGTAGATTTTGCTGAGTTACCACCCAGGGAAAGATATAAATACATGCTGGTGCTGGTTGACACCTTCAGTGCATGGCCTGAGGATTACCCCTGTCGTACTAACACAGCAAGGGAAGTGGGAAAAACTTTACCTAATCACATAATTCCAAGTTCCTCTTGGAATGTCATCAGACAGAGGGACACATTTTATTGCAGGGGTAGTGAAGGAGGTTTGTGGTGTCCCAGGAATTGTCTGGGACCTGCACACTCCCTACAGACCTCAGGCAAGAGGCAAAGTTGAATGCATGAATGGCACTCTTAAAGTGCAAATTGGTCAAATTTGTCAGGAAACATCCGTGTCATGTGTTCATTTTTGCCTCTGGTTGTGCTGAGGATTCACATCCCGCCAAGTTGGAGGGATGACATAGGTCCTTATGAAATATTGTATGGGAGACCATACCAGGCTCTGCACATTCCAGGGCACATTCACGGGAAAGTTGATTTACAAAAGTATTTAATTGCTTTAAGCTCTACTTTACAGAAGCTCCCGAAATTCATCGAGTTATCCAGACCCGTGGGACTGGACATTCCTGGTCATCTGTTCCAGCCCAGACACTGAGCCTATGCTGAACAGTGGGACTGAAACCCTTACAAGCCAAGTGGAAAGAACTCTTTCAAGCTCTGCTGACCATCTCCATCATGGGCAGAGCTGTTGGCAAAGAAACCAGAGAGAAAAAGGCCTCTGTTCCTGAGACAAGAAAAACAACAGAAACTGTTACAAACTGTTAAAATGATACCTCAACTATTTTTCTCTGTGTGTTGTCTAATACCACCAGTAACTATGGATTGGGTTTAGAGCCAAAATTCACATTTAGCTTCAGTAAAAATGCACCCAGTATTCTTCATGACAGTGAGTGCTGGATTGGCACTATGGATTCGGCTGAAATTTGGCAACAAGTTTAAATCTGACACTGGCCAATTCCTGAGGATGTCTCATCAGGTTTACAGAGATGTCTTCTGTAAACCTACTTCATAGTTACCAATCTGGACCTGGATAAAACCATCGTTTCTATTAGTGATGTGCAAAGTGTTTGTATAATAGCTCATTGCATGAACCCTCAATTCCAGTAGTGTTGTTTAGTCTCATTTTCAGGGTAGGATGGTAGAGAACAGCCTAAAATCTGCTCAAGCAGATACAGACACAGACACAACAACCTCCAGGCCCAGAGCTTTGGGAAGCCTCCAAGGACTGCACGTGCTCTGAGGAAGATGAAGAGGAGGAAGAGGGGGTCCCAACACTCCCCCAGCCTCAATTCCCAAGAGGAGTGTCAGGGGCAGAGCCAGGGGGGTGGCTGGATGGGGATTGGGTGGGAATCATGATAAAATTTTAACACCTGTGTCTCTGGAGCCTCATTAAACCCTCTTTAGTAACCTAAAGTGTAATTAAATGCCTTGCTAAATACACATATACAGTATCAGCAGCTTAGTTTTATTTAATCCTGATTTAACCTGATAGTTGAAAGGGAAGTCTGCATTACACAGCTGATGTTTATGGTCTTGATCTGTGTGTGAGGATAATTGATTTATACCTCTGGAAGGAATCTGCCAGCGTGGATAATAGTGCAGGACTAAAGCCTGAACTACTTACTTGCAACTCTCCAGAAGATGCAAAGTTATTCTCAATTAAATCTGTTGATAAAGGCCACATTTACTATGAAATTATTGAAAATATAATTTCATTAATGAAGTTATGATGTAATCTGATATAGCTATGTGTAACACTGTAGAAAAAAATGAGTCAATATTACATTATTGTACTAATTAATCAAACCTCCCAATTTTAATTGGCATTTTCACAGGAATCATTAGCTCAGGGTTGCAGAGCTGTAGAAAATGGTTTGTGCCAGCAGAATAAAAATCTGTTGCAGTTGGATCGGTCACAGCTGTCCAATTTTAAGAACTATATTACTTTTTTCCCAATACAATTAGTTCTAATATAAGGTTCTTAACATTAATATTTGGTGAAGAACACTTCACAGAATCAGAAAACACCGTTATGTTGCTCATCCTTTCCCAAAAAGCCAGGAGTACTTTTCAGACCTCTGACATCGCCTGAGAATAACTTGGACAGATTAAATTCTTACAAAGAGATGAGCCATGTGATCCAACTCAGCATATTCTGGGATTCTATAATCATTTTGTGTTAATTTTTTTTTTTTTTTCAGTTTTCTTATTTACTGATGAACTTTTCCAGGGAACCTGAGAAACTGTAGTGAACTGTGCTCAATCCCAACACGAGATAAAGCAAAGCAAGTTCCTCACTGTGCAAAGGTTACACAAACAGTCGTGCTCTGTGGTGCTCTCTGAGGGTCAGCAGTGCACGTGCTGTTGAACTAAAGGGGAGAAAGTGAATTCCAAATTTGAGAGCTTTCTTTGCAGGTTCTATGCTTTGCTTGTTTTCTTTCCTTTGATGTGCCCTTCCTGCATGAGATGAAGTCACACAAAGGAGCAGCACTAGGCTGGTATTTCTTAAGCTTGAGACAGACAAGAAGAAATACTTAAACCGTTTGACCCTCCAAATGACACTGTCACCTGTTTCTGCCATGCATTGTGGAAATCAGCATTATGTTCCATCCCTGGAAGCATTCAAGGCCAGGTTGGATGGAGCTCTGAGCCACCTGGTCTAGTGGGAGGTGTCCCTGCCCATGGCAGGGCGTTGGAATGAGATCATCTTTAAGGTCCCTTCCAACCCAAAGAATTCCATGATTCTGGTTTGGAGAGCAGAAGCTGCAGGATTTATCTGGGACTGCATTAAAATAGGTGTAACCAGCAGGTGAGGGAGTAATTGTGCCCCTCTGCTCCCTCAGGTGAGACCCCTCTGCAGAGCTGCTCCAGCCCTGGGAACAGCACAGGGAGCACAGGGAGCTGCTGGAGAGAGCCCAGAGGAGGCACCAAGAGGATCCCAGGGCTGGAGCAGCTCTGCTGGGAGGAAAGGCTGGCACAGCTGGGATTGTTCAGCTGGACAAGAGAAGCTTTGGGTGACTTTAGAGCCCCTTCCAGTGCATAAAGCGAGCTACAAGAGAATGGGAGATGGACTTGGGACAAGGGAGAGGTGGTGACAGGAAAAGGGGGAATGGCCTGAAGCTGAAGGTGGGCAGGGTTAGATGGGATATTGGGAAGGAATTGCTGGCTGGGAGGGTGGGCAGGCCCTGGCACAGGTTGGGCAGAGCAGCTGTGGCTGCCCCTGGATCCCTGGAAGTGTCCAAGGCCAGGCTGGACGGGGCTTGGAGCAACGTGGGCTGGTGGAAGGTGTCCCTGCCCATGGCAGGGGTGGGAACTGGATGATCTTTAAGGTCCCTTCCAACCCAAACCATTCCGCGATTCCGTGAGGGGCCGGCTCGCGGCGCTCGACATCGCTTGCTCCTCCTCCTCCTCCAGAGCACGGCGACAACTATCCCGGTGCAAACACAACGCCCCAAGCCACGTTTAACGATATTTTTGACGACTTTTATTAATTTTACACGCCCTTTCGCCACACAACCGTGGCGAACCGCAACAGAGCGCTGAGGCGAGGGCGAAGGGGGGACTGAGGGCGGTGCAGACAGGGCGGGGCCGGGCCCCTCCAGCCAATCAGAGCTCGTGGCCGCGCCCGCGCGGCTGACGCCCCCGCTCTTTGATTGGCCGCGGCTCTGGGGAGGGGCGGGGCCGGGAGGGGGGGGGCCGCGCGCCCGCCATGCTGATCACGCTGTGCTACCTGTACCTGTGGGCGCGGCGGGGGCCGCGCGCGGCCGCGCTCGTGCGCGGCACCGTGAGGGGCCTGCACGGCTCCCGCCGCTGCTCCTTCAGCTTCTGCGCCCGCCCCCCGCGCCCCGGCGAGCGCGTCCGCCTCCGCCTCGGCGGGAGGGTGTTCTGCACCGGCGAGGCGCAGGTAGAGCCGCCGGGGTGTGCTTGGGTGGGTGGGGGTGTGTGTGTGTGTCCGCGCTGACGGCGATGCTGCGGGTCCGCGCGTTGCCACGGCAACGGGGGATGCGGGTCCGCGCCCCCGGGGAGCGGTGGGTGCGGCGGTGGCGCTGTGGTTTTATCCTCGGGGATGTGGGGGTGGTGGTGGCCGGCAGGGGTTTGGGGGTGAGGGGAATCACGCGTGGGGCGTCTCCCGTGCTGTGGGGTGGATGAAGGGGTGTAGCCAGGCGGTGCCGCCGTGGGGAGTGTTGGTGCGGGTGTAATTTACCTCTGCTCGCCGCTGCGTGGGGGTTGTTGGTGTGAGAAACAGGCTCTAAATGTTCCCCAGTTCGTGAGAAACGGAGTCTCAGGATGTAATCAGTGTTCAGATTGGAATTTATTGTGCGATAAAAGCAAACAGCACGCTGGGTAACAGAAAGATTCTGCGCACCTGACAAGAGTCTTCGAGTAATATTCATTCTAGCCACTTCATGCGTATTTATTACATGATATACATTTATCATATGTTTATTTTCACAACTAGAGCTAGGTTGTTATCTCTACAACAGCGATAGCTCTCCTACAATTCGTACATTCTTAGACTACAAGATGCCTAAAAGATCATATAATTCATTTTAGGAAAGCAGAGGTGATTTGTAGCCTTTGACCTTGATGGCCTTAAAAAGGGTCTGCTTTATTTCCTTATGGGGGGTGTGATTAAGTGTTACAATCCGTTTGTTTTATTCTTCTATTGACACGGATTTATGGCTACGTATATGACATTGGGCTGGGGGTAGGCTGAAGGGTGCTGTATGTGCTGTGCATGTATATATATATGTGTGTGTGTGTGTATACACGTGTAAAATACATAATATATATAAAAATTAATATGTGTATATATATAAATATATATATGTGCATATATATAAATATATGTGTGTGTGTAGCTTTGCAAGCTGTGCTTATAGAAGAACTCGGCTGGGGAAGCTTGATGGTGTTTCAGAGAGTCACAGGATGGTTTGGGTGGGAAGGGACCTTAAATATCATCCCATTCCACCCCCTGCCATGGGCAGGGACACCTTTCATAGCCCAGGTTGCTCCAAGCCTCATCCAGCCTGGCCTTGGACACTTCCAGGGATCCAGGGGCAGCCACAGCTTCTCTGGGAATTCCATCCCAGCCCCTCCCCACCCTCACAGGGAAGAATTGCTTCCTAATATCTAATCCAACCCTACTCTCTTTCAGTTTAAGGCCATTTCCCCTTGTCACTCCAGCCTTCTTTCCATATTAGCAACCCACTTCGAGCACATACAAGGCTTTAGTCTAAAAATACAAGCTGTGTTTGTGGTTCAAGATTTGTGTCAGAGGTTTGAAACGGCGCTGGATCTGTCGTGGCATCTGAACTGAGCTCTTGGTTACAGAGAACTTGCAGCTTCTCCCCAGACAAAACATTGTTTCAAGTGAAGGGAGCGAGGTGAAAAATGAAGATCTTGTTTCTTTGCAAATGGGCAGTGGGAGAGGAGGGTGGGGGGGAGGCCGTGGCAGCCCGTGACGGTGGAAAAATCCAGTGCCTGAACCAGTTCCACTTGGAATTGCAGGAAGCAAAACTGAAACTAAGCTTGCCTGACTTTCAGGCTTGGAAGTGGAACTGCCCTGGCAGTGCCCAGAATAGTCTGAATTATTTAAATGAGCGTTGGATTCGTCTGCATTTGTCGCTAAATGCCAGCATTGTTGATCTCTGCTTTTTGCTGGTGTTGATGTGTGAGTTGGTGGGAATTATTTCCCTTGTTACAGGCACCACTGAGACGGATTTATGAACCGTGCCACTGGCTGAGTGCTGCTCTTTAAGAAGCAGAGAAGCTTTTCACAAGTTCAGTGGGTGAAGAGAATGTTTTCAGTGAGGGGAAAACAAGATCAGAAATGCTGATGGGGTTTGTTCCATTTAAACCCAGCCTTTTTTGCTCTTCAACGAGCAGGTTATTTCATACTTAAAAAGCAGTGGGGGCATTCTCAGGATCTCTCACAGCGAAGTTAAATACTTAATTCATACCTCCATAAAAACAAACCAAAGTTGACTGTGTTGTTTTTGCCTCGGTTGCCCCGGGTTATTGTTTTGTAAGAAGCATTTCAGCTGATTTCTGCTGCTCTTTGCTCCACTTCTGCCCGTTTCTGAGGCTGCTCCTCCTCGGTCCTTGCACAGCAGGCACATTTTTTTCTGTCTGCAATGCTGTTCATGCAGGCCGATTTTATGAGCTGCTCACTTTATTGGGAGCTGAGAAGCCCTCTGGGGAGCTGTAGCTTGGCACGAAGCTTGGCATGAGGTCAGGGCTGTTATTCAATATGTTTTTTGTCTCTTAAAAATACACCTTGGCAGCTCCCACTCTGAGAACCCCGGGGCAGGTGTGGGGCACGGGAGGGCTCTGACCTTCAATTAAAGGCTCTTTGCATCATCTATGAAGAGATAAAAGGTTAACCTGGATGGTTTTTTTGGGCTTCTGGGCAGCCAGCAAAGCTCCTTTGCTCTCTGAGGAGGCAGAACTGACTCTGGACCGTGAGCAGCGATCTGCTGAAGACACCAGTGAGTCAATAATCCTCACCTGGAAAGGTTTTTTGTTTGATCTTCAGCCAGATGGGGATCTTTAAGGGACTATAAAGCTTCCTGAGTTCAGTTCCCTTTCCCTGGAAGATAAGAAGTGTTTGCTCTTGCAGCTTCTGTGCTCACTAAAGGTGGTTGGAGCAGGGAACTCAACCCACAGACTCTGGGGTTTCATCTGAGGTGTGGGGTGATTCTCAGTGTGCTGGGGGGAAATTCTCTTCTGTTTTTCCATAAAATGACTGAAGGTGTGCATTTCTAGCATGGTAGTAGCAAAATAGATGCATTTCTAACATTTGCCATTTTAAAAATATGTCAGAAAATTAAGCTCGGTGCAATATCTGCTTAAAAATCGATGTCATATTTTAAAAGAACAGATTACTGTGAAGCTTTGAGGGTTTTTTTATCACTGTCACCCCCACCTTCCTTTTCCACTGCCCATTTGCAAAAAAACCTGTGGTTTTCATTTTTCATCTCCTTTTCCTCCCTTGAAACAACGTTTTGTATGGGGAGAGCTCAAACCTGTTCATTGGTTTACTGGTTCCAGCTTTTGAGCTTTATTTGCTCCTGGGTGAGGACAAGAGAGAGAGAACCATTTTTAAAATTTAATGAAGGAAACATTCGATCCAGTGGCCTGATGAGTGGCTGGGATAACTTATGGACAGATTGATTTCGAGTGAGTTATTTATTTATATTTTATGAGCTTTGTAGGGAAGGAGGAATTTTGATGCAGATGCAGGAGGATTTAACATGCAGTGGGAATGGGAGAGCAGGATCAGGCTGGGTGAGGAACGTTGGCAAATGGCCCACGAGAGTCACAAGTGCCACTGGCTCAGTGGGTTTTGTGGCCCCCTCTTTTCCACCCTTCCCGTAAAGCTGAAAGCTGGAGTGTGAATTGGCTTAAAAAACGTGGCTTGTCACTTTTAGTTTCGCTTTTGATGTGTTCCTGGGTAATGGTTCAGTACTTTAGCCCTTTTCTTTTCCCTCGTGGGGAATGTGAAATAGTCATCACCCTTCATGCAGGGCTGGAGGCTCACATTTGAATTCAGGCGGGGCTTAATTTAAAACTGAATTCTTAAATCCGCTGCTTCCTACACAGACTCACTTTTCTTTTCTGCTTCTTTCAGTTCCTTGATGACTTAAACAGGTGGAGTCTCCTTCTCGTTTCCCCCTTCATTTACCCTGAGAAGTTGCTTAATGCAGAACACATAGCTTTTGTGACAGAAAGCATTTCTGCTCAGACAGAGAACCTGCAGAGAGGACCTGACTCTTCAAAAGAGGTGAGTGCTTCCTTCTGTTTCTCCCACAGAAAGCAGAGCAGGTGGGTTGTGGTGTTCTTAGGAATAAAAAGGTAATCTCTTTGGTAAAATATCTCACTGTTAATGGTTTAGTTCTATTTTATGCTTCAAACAGACCCACGGATATTTTTTTGATGAGGGTTTTTAGGAGGGTGTTTCTCTGGCTGTGGGTGGGAACTGCTCCTCTGCTCTGGAGCCAGGCTGGGAGAGCTGGGATTGTTCAGCCTGGAGAAGAGAAGGCTCCAGGGAGACCTTTCCAGTGCCTAAAGGGGCTCCAGGAGAGCTGGAGAGGGACCTGGGACAAGGGATGGAGTGACAGGACAGGGGGAATGGCTTCCCACTGCCAGAGGGCAGGGATAGAGGGGATATTGGGAAGGAATCCTTCCCTATGAGGGTGGTCCTTCCCAAGGCTCTCACATGTTGTGTGTGCTCTGTGCTTTCCTTAGAGAAGAGAGTCACAGAATCATAGGATGGTTTGGGTTGGAAGGGACCTTCAAGATCATCCAGGTCCAACCCCCTGCCATGGGCAGGGACACCTTCCACTCAGCCCAGGTTGCTCCAAGTTTATCCAGCCTGGCCTTGGACACTTCCAGGGATCCAGGGGCAGCCACAGCTTCTCTGGGCAACCTGTGCCAGGGCCTGCCCACCCTCCCAGGGAAGAATTTCTTCCTAATATCCAATCCAACCCTACTCTCTTTCAGTTTAAGGTCAGTCCCCCTTGTCCTGTCACTCCAGGCCCTTGTGGAAAGTCCCTCTGTTTTTGGGGTTCCAGAGCTCTTGCATGGAACAGGCTCTGCCACAAGCTGGGATCACCACCCAGGGCCATGGATCAGGTGTTGTCCTGAATGGTCCCAGCTCAAGCACCCTGAAGGGCCCATCTGTCAGCCTTGTTTCCTGGAATCATGTTTCAGGCTCCTCCTTGGAATCACAGCCACTCACACAGGTGCTCGTGGTCTGCCTGTTTCCCTGGGTGAGGATCATGTGTTTTCCAGGTCGCTCATTCCAGGAGATATTCCAGGAATCCTGTGCTGGAGCGAACACTGAGAGCAGAGGGGTTGGTAAATGGACTTGTCTAACCTGAGGGCAGGTTGGGAACAGTGCTGGGCCAGTTCAAACACAAGGCTGAGGGAGATCTTTAATTATTTATTCTTTTGGACTATATTGTTCAGCCGAGTTGTTTTTTTTTTTTAATCTTCTCACTTTTGTTTGTGTTTTCCTTAGAATGGAAAATATTTGCATCCTTACCTGGCCATTCATTTGGTTTCCAAAGCTCAAAAGGGATAGTCCAGGCAGAAGACCAAAACAAAGGAGGAAAAGGCCTGCTGTTGTATTTTGTTCATTATTCTTCTGTGCCCATGTCCCTTGTAGTGAAGTGCTCTCAACTCTGGTACAGCCAAATGTCACCAGAGCCAGGGAATGTTGCTCCTGTGGCCTGGGAGAATTTCTAGCCAGAAAACCATTCCCTGTGGAACTACCAGGGATCTGTGAGTGGTTTTTATTGACAATGAGGTGGACCCAGAAAACATAAAAATGAATAAATAATAATAATAAAAAAATATTCCCTGAGGATTTCTGTTCTGCTGTGAAGAAAATGGATTGTTGCCTGATCAGGATTATAGGTCATATGTTTTGGCAAGTGTGCCAGGTCCTCACCACCCTGACAGTCAAGAATTTCTTCCTAATACCCCTTTGAAAAGGCTTTACTTTGAGAGACACTTCTCTGTGTTCACTTTGTTTGCACCACACAGCAACAGCTGCATTTTAGATCTGATATTTTGCTTGGTGCCATGAAAAAAAAGCTCCAGAGCATCAATATATTTTCCTCATACTTTCCAGGTGAGCTGTGCCTGTTCTCTGGGTAAGAAAGGATATCTAAATATTATCTAAGTTTTTTACCCTCCACCCCGGTATCCTGAGGAAAATGGAGAAGGAAGTTGGTGTCCTGCATCAGAAATGTTTGCCACTGGTCGATGTGAATTCCCACACCAGCAGCAGGCCCTCAGAGTTTTCCACCTTAGGATTACAACTGGAGGCTTCCCTTCCCAGCTGTGGATGTTGTACCAATAAATTAAGCCCAGCTGGGAATCCTTTCCACCTGGGAAGTGTTGATTGGGGCAGTTTGTGCTGATTTGGTCACACACATCCCCAGTGACAGTGGGGTGAGGCCTGACTGGCTCTGCCTCCAGGGTTTCAGGTGGATCGTGGTCTGGTGTGGCTGCTTTCCATCAGGACAGTTTGTTCTGCTTCAGAACTGCTCATTCACCCCCAGAGAGCCCCCAAAATATGCCCTGAAACTTCATTTCATTGCTTTGTGGCACAGCCGTGCTGATGAGCTTTCAGAAAGTCCTGGAGGTGGGAGCTCGCCGTTGGAGCAGGTGGTTGTTATTCCCAGGAGTTCAGGACCCAGGTGGTCAAATCCATCTGCCGTGGATTTGAGGGCTGGTTCTCACCAACTCTGTGTTCTGGCTTGAACCTGTGACTTGCTCTTGTGTTACAGAGCTGAAGTTTGACCCAGAACTCAAGAATGTGCATCTTGTGGGGAGCACCCACACACTGCTCTCCTTTTCCTTTTGGAAGTGGAATGTTTTCACTGAGGGTCAGGATAAGTAATGTACCAGATGGTACCCAGCCAGTTTTCTTGTTAGATATCCAAAGGCCACCAACATGAGTATGGATTGAGACCCCCCCCCCACCTGCAGAGCTGCTCCAGCCCTGGGAACAGCACAGGGAGCACAGGGAGCTGCTGGAGAGAGCCCAGAGGAGGCACCAAGAGGATCCCAGGGCTGGAGCAGCTCTGCTGGGAGGAAAGGCTGGCACAGCTGGGATTGTTCAGCTGGACAAGAGAAGCTTTGGGGGGACCTGAGTGTGGCCTTGCAGGGCCTGAAGGAGCTGCAGGAAAGATGGAGAGAGACTATTTCCAAGGGCTGGAGGGACAGGACAAGGGGGAATGGCTTCAAACTGCCAGAGGGCAGGGATAGATGGGATATTGGGAAGGAATTGCTGACTGGGAGGGTGGGCAGGCCCTGGCACAGGTTGCCCAGAGAAGCTGTGGCTGCTCCTGAATCCCTGGAAGTGTCCAAGGCCAGGTTGGATAAACTTGGAGCAACCTGGGCTGGTGGAAGGTGTCCCTGCCCATGGCAGGGGGTGGGACTGAATAATCTTCAAGGTCCCTTTCCCACCTGAACCATTCCAAGATTCCATGAATGGTCTCACTTGGGTTGTGCCAGAGGCTGGCTTAGAGAATGACTCAGAAAGGAGACACAGCCATTTAGGTTGGATGAACCCTCAGTCCCTTCTTCCTTCGTGTTCCCTTGGGAAATACTCCAAAGTCAGAAACTGGAACTGGATTATTTTGAATATTGTGCAAACCACTTCACTGCAGTAGGTGAAAAGGTAAATTTAGCTGATAATCAAATATTGGCAAGTAAAACACCTAAGAGCTCACTCTCATTTTGAGCATTCAAAAGAAGTGTTTTTCCTGCCTGTCTTTAATCAGTGTGATGCATCTTGTATGTGGTGATAAAAAGGTGAACTTCATGGAAGTGGTTTGGTGTTGTCAGTCCTGGAGCTGCTGTGTGGGAATTGCACTTTGTCTCCCAATATTTGGAATATGTTATGTGGCAAAGGCTAATTTTTTTTTAAGGTGGTGCTTCCTTGTCTCTAAAAACACCTTCCCAGGAGAACAACTGGTTTGTGCATCCAAGTGTGTATCCCAATTGCATGGTGTTTATTTCCTGGAGAAAGGAATTTTTGCTGTATATTAACAGCTTGATCCTTCAGGGTTTAGTTAATACTTCTGATAATCAGGGTGTGCTTTGATTTAAACCCTTGTAGTTCACTTTTGTTCTTTTTATCAGCATTCTTCTTTAGAATCTGTGCTGAAGGAAATAAACACCAATAGATTTTTTTTTTTACAGAATGTGGTTATGCTCTGCTGGAATTTTCTGTGTTACTTGAAACTTTTATAGCCTTGGTCTCGGGGAATGATTAATTTGTACTTCCAATTTGCTATGAATGCTTAGTTGCTGTTGTTTTCTTCTGTCAGGGGTGAATCTTGTAGCAGGTTTTGCTGCATAAATGACCCTTCCTCAGTGGGTTCTTCAGGTTGTGTTCGAACCTTGTGCAGCTCATCTTTAAAACTCGTAATATTGTTGATATCTGGATGTTTTCCTGTAACCTTCTCCAACTGAAAAAGCTTCATGTGCTTTATTCTAGATTGTGAGGTGGTCAGACTACTGCTCACCCTTGGCCTATAAACCTGGTGAACCTTTCAAGTTGATTGCTGAAGCGAGCGTGGATAATTTCAGTAGCCTTGGAATAGCGTTCTTGGAAGACAGGCTCCAAATGGATAACGGGATGGTGCCCCACAGGATTGTTTGTGAGTATTTCACGGTCATTTTTACCAGCAGAACACGTTTGTTTCGTGGTTATTTTAGGACTTTGCATATAGTTTTTATACCTGTTTATAAATAAACTTGCACTTGTTTTGGTGAGGCACTTGATGAGTCTGTAGCTCGACTGTGTTTTCACAGAATGGTTTGGGTTGGAAGGGACCTTCGAGATCATCCATTCCCACCCCCTGCCATGGGCAGGGACACCTTCCACCAGCCCAGGGTGCTCCAAGTTTATCCAGCCTGGCCTTGGACACCTCCAGGGATCCAGGAGCAGCCACAGCTTCTCTGGGAATTCTATCCCAGCCCCTTCCCACCCTCCCAGGGAAGGATTTCTTCCCAGTTTTATACTGAATATTGTCAGATATAGAGATCCTTGTGAAGCTGATGCAACAACAGAAATAAGAGCAGAATGGATCTGAAGATTTTTGGGATAACTCCCTCCTCTTCTTCTTTAATGCCTCATTAGCTACTGCCATTAATTAACCTCAGTATGATGAGATCTCCAAGAACCCAAGGTGGTGTTTAATCATTTGCAAATGCATTGATTGTGTGACTGTCACAAAGGTGAAGTTAGAAATTACTATTTCTGTAAATCTTGGCTGTTACATTAAAAAATCTGTTTGGGGAAAAAAAAAACCACAAAACACCCAAAAAACAAACCCAGAAGTTTTGAGGCAAATGTTCTCTTCTTTTTCATATTGGAAATTAAAGTCTGTTAAAAGCTAAACATGAGTTGAGAACAATTTGGGCTTCTGCTCCAAAGGGGATACAGTTCCAAGGGAATGCAAGTGTTGATAAGTGGAGAAAGGGATTGAACTTGCCTCTGGTGTATTGTAACAAAGCTCTGTTAAGCAAGTTTCTCGTGGAATTAAAAGCATAGGAAGTTTATTTGGTCCTGTATGAGTGGAGAAGGATTCAGTAAATTTTTTCAGACTGAAACCCGAAATATTTTCATGGCTCAGCAGCTGAAAAAACCCTCCCTTATGAAGAGGATTTTTCTCTCCTCTTTTGTAATTAGTTTGCTCTGCAGGCTTCATGCTGGCAAATAATCCCCTCTGCTCCTTTTTTCTTCCTTGTATTTGCTATAGATTGTTTATCTTTGCAATTCTGTTGTTTTCAGGGGGAGAAAAGGGAAGGTTTAACAATTCCTCATATTTGCCTCTTGTTTCCTTGGATTCTTAGCTCCCTGATCTTGCTGTTTGTGGTTCTCTCTCCCTTTCTGCAGCCTGAAAGCAGTTCAGTTCTTTTTTTTTTGACTCCCTTTACTTGTGCCAAACTTTTATCTGCAGCCTCCAGCAGTGCAATATCTCCATCTTGCCCAACATCACCGCTTTATTAGCTTATTTCAAAATAGTTTGTTTCAAAATAGTTTATTTCCAAAGAGCAGCAAGGGATTTTCCACCCTGCTCTCCTTGAAAGATCAGTATTTTTCCCAAGGTATTTCATTTGCTTCGTTTTGTCCTTTGAAACAAAGACTCCTTAGACTTGTAAGTCCAGATTGATTTTGGTGCTGGGGGGACGTGGGATTTGCTGTCAAACAAGTGAAATTCTTGCTGTTACAGATGATTTGTGCTCAAATTGAATTAAATCAAATCCTGCTGTGTTAGTAATATTTATGATAGCTCTTTTAATACTGTTTTTCTAACCCCTCCTTTTGCATCCTTTCCCCTTTCCCAGCTGTCCATTTACAGGAATCTGCTCTGCAGGAGTTGGCGCAGGAGGCACCACCTGTGAAAGAGCAGAGCGCACAAATGGATGAAGCAACTGTTAAATCAGGATTGGGAGGGCAGAGTGAGGAGGAGAAATCCAGGCCAGAGGAGGAAGGTGATCGTGGGGATGAGCCCAGCAATCTGTCAGGAGAGCATCACCACTTGCATCTTTCCAGCTGCCGCGAGTGCCTGCAGCTGGAAAACAGCACCATCGAGTCGGTCAAATTCGCCTCTGCAGAAAACATTCCGGAGCTTCCCGATGATGCCAGCAGCAGGCTGGAAGAGGAGAAGGATGACTGCCTAGAAAGAGGGATGAAGAGGGTGAACCTCGCTGGGAAGCCCCCGAATGTGTTGATTTACCTCGGCTCTGAGGGGGCCAAGGGGAAATTCGAGCAGGTGAGATCGATCCTTCGGGAGTGCGTCGACGCAGAGAGCTACACCATCTACCAGCTGCACCAGGAGCAAGTGCTGAGAGACCCCTGGATCGACAACGCCCTGCTCTTGGTCATTGCCTCGGAGGAGCCCATTTCTGAGGGGAGCCACGAGCAGTTCATGAAGTTTTTGTCCAAAGGCGGGAAGATTCTCGGGATTTCTTCGTCCTTCACGTTCGGCGGCGTTCGGATCAAGCGGAAGAACAAGCTGAGGAGGACTGTCCATGAACTGGTGGTGTCCACAAAGGACAGCCCTGAGGTGAAGCTGGATCTGGTGGTCAGTGGCTGTGTCTTCGAGGAAGGGGGGAAGGAAGAGGCCGGCAAAGTGAAGACGTTGTGTCGATTAAATAACGCCGAGAAAGACACAGTTATTGTTCACCTGACTCACGGAGAGAGTGGAGGAGAAGCCATCCTTTCCCAGGTACTGTGCGTGTGGAAGTGTTGATCTGCACATTGCTGCGTGGGGAAAAGGTCACTTCTTCCCACTGCACGATCTTGGGGGTTCCTGTCAAGGAGAGGAGCGTGGAACGGGTTGGGTTGGGAGGGATTTTAAAGACCATCCAGTTCCAATCCCCTGCCATGGGCAGGGACACCTTCCACCAGCCCAGGTTGCTCCAAGCCCCATCCAAACTTGGCCTTGGACACTTCCAGGGATCCAGGAGCAGCCACAGCTTCTCTGGGCAACCTGTGCCAGGGCCTGCCCACCCCCTGAGGTGCAGATGGATGTGCTGGTGGGTGTACAAGGACTCTGAATGCAGAATGGGTTTCCTTTGATCCTCAGCAATGCCACTGCTGTTCCACTTCCCTGTTGTCACCACAGAGCCAGGCAGGTGGACATCAGGAAAGATCAGAGGGGTGGTGGAAGAAAGAGCAGGTTTGCACAGTTAGCAGGAATCTTACTTACCAATCCATACCAGTATCACCAAGGTGAGTGCCAGGAAGGTGGTGCCAGATTCTTCCCAGTGGTCAGGCCGAGGAGCAGAGTCCTCAAACTAAAACACAACAAGTTCCACCTCAACATGAGGAAGAGCTTCTTTCCATGGAGTGACAGAGCACTGGAAGAGCTGCCCAGGGAGGGTGTGGAGTGTCCCTCTCTGGAGATGTTCCAACCCTGCCTGGACACATTCCCGTGTCACCTGCTCCAGGTGATCTCCAGAGGTGTCTTTCCAACCCCAACTATTCTGAGATTCTGTGATTTTCAAGAGCAGAGCTTTCCTTTTCTGCCTGCTGGAGGTTGGGCAGTGACAGAGCTGGGAATTCTGCAGATTTTGGGAGGTGGGAACAGGAAGAGCCAAATTGTGACAGATCTGAGGGTGAGAGCTTACACTGGCAAAATAAAAAAGTCACTCTTGCTAAAATCTGAACTATGGGGAAGCAGAGAGTGTAAAATAAACCTCGCTGGAAACTTCCTTTTATATTTCCCAAGTCTTTCTTCAGGCTTTCAAGTTTTAAATGTTTAACATTCTGCACCTATGAAATAGCTCAGAGCACCTGGGGGGAGTGAAGGAGCCAAAAATCTTCCTCATTCCACTTGAAAACAATATCCCAGCAAACAGGTGCCTCTCCAGTGTTAGGGTATTGTGGTGTCTGGTAAAAGAGAAGACCCCACAACCAAACAAAAACCCTCAAAAAATTAAAGAACACAGAAGTTCAAGTGGTCATAATATTTTTTTTTTAAATTTTTTATTTTTTATTCTCTGTGGATGATGGGTGTGTTAAAGGTAAATGTTGGTCACTGATTATTTAAATATTCAGAGCTATAAGTTTTGAGTGTTGGAAAGGCTGATAAAAAGTTTAGAAAATAAGTGTATGCCCTGAAGTATGAATCTACCAAGCACATGGAGAAAAGCAGAGCAAGATTTATTTACCAGTGTTCAAGTAAATTAAATTAAGTAATATAATAGAGACTTAGCTTTATGAAAGGTTGTATTTCAACCAACATTTTAGGTCGAGGAGAACTTTCTCAGGAGCCCAGAGCACTCAAATTTCACTGCTCAGGGATCAGGTATCAATACTTTTCGAGCAGTTTCGTAGTTCAGAAACATTCCTGGGCTTTCTCAGAAGTGTTTCCATCTCTTATCAGTTTATCAGGTCAAATCTGCTGGGTTTTTTTTTGGAAACTCTGTTAGACACAGCAGCATGTTTAGAGCTTTGCCACCCCATGTGCTGGATGCTTGGACCAGAAAACCGATTAGAAGCTGTTTGTGCAAGCTCCGTGGAAAAACCTGCTCTGCTGCAGCCTTTAAACTGACCCTTCTGCTGCAGGAAAACTTAACACTGCAGAGGTTTCTCCCCCTCCCCACCCCCTAGAAAAAGAGCTTTTAACAGCACAGCTTCAAAAAAAAATCAGATTAAAAGGATTAGTGTGTCATTTTATAATTCTAAACGACTTCCAGTGTGGATTTGAAAAGCCTTATTGTTTTCTCCTCAGGGGCTGGGCAGTGACATCAGCTGTTAAATATTCTGCCACAGAAATGCTTCCCTTGTTTTGATGCTCTTCTGGGAGGGTGTGTCCTGCCCCCATTTACACTTTTTATAGCCATGGAGTGGTTTGGGTTGGAAGGGACCTTAAAGATCACCCAGTTCCCACCCCAGGTTGCTCCAATCCTTGTCCAACCTGGCCTTGGACACTTCCAGGGATCCAGGAACATCCACTGTCCTTCATTTCCCTGAATTTCAATAAAGCAGATTATAGATAAAACATGAAGGGCATCATTAAACTGAAGAAGTGAACAAAAGAATAGCTTGTGATTTTCATTAAATGAATCTGCGTGTAGCAGGGTAGGAGGCCTTCTAAATATCTTGGAACAATTATTTCAAAACCAAACCAACCAACCAAACAAAATAAAACCTCACAAAAAAACATCAAACACAGAAAGAAAACCAGAAAAAAAGGAGGTCTACAAAGGATTTCTTTTTTTTCTGTTGTGTTTCATTTCTGCTTTTAAGCATCTGCTGCAGCTCTACCACATGGGAAAGTAATTTTTTTCAGACAGAAGCGTTTCTTGATCTGCACTGATTTCAACTTAATTCACGTGACACAGTAAGGACTTCTCTGGGTTCTTCAGATCTCCAACCTCTGGTAAAGCTCTTTCAGTTTTAAGACAATTCTTCTCTGGTACAAGTCAAAATATGCCAGATCTTGCTGTTGGTTCTGGCAGACATGAGGAGGAGAGGGATAAACTGAATTAGTAAGTACAAGTGTGAACATCTCCTCCAGGAAATGTTTATTTTAGAGGGGATATTTGGGGTTTCACAGGAAATTGTGAGTGGATTGGCAGCTGTGATCCCTGAACTGAAAAGTGATTTTTTTGGGGTTCTCTTTGCCCATATCCTGCCAGGCCCACTTGGAGCTGGACAGCAATTCCATGGACGTCCAAACTGAGGAGGATTTTAACCTGCTGAAGATGAGCAACACCAAGAGATACCAAGTCCTCAAGGAGATCCTGGTGTCACTCGGCCTGAGCTGTGAATTAAGGGATCTTCCCACCTTAACACCTCTTTACCTGCTCTCTCCTGACGAGGTAAGTTGTGCTTGGTTCAGCTGTCTGACCATTTACCCTGCAAGGCAAATTCAGTGCCCTCCTAAATCCACCTCGAGGTGGTTTTTGTTTGGAGAGGTTTGGGTAGGTATTGCAGGTAAGCAAAAAGTTCAGTTTCTGCTCCGTTGTGTTACCTGTTGGTTGTAAATCTGAATTTCATCACGGGGGAATTAATTTTTCAGCTGTATTTGCTGTATTTTTGGAGTTTTCAAACATGCCACGAGTTAAAATTCAGCTAAATTGCTATCCAAACTTGCCATCTAGTGGCATATCCCAGGGTTGCAGGCCACCTAATAAAGATATTTTAACTACACACTTTATAGTTCAAGTTTATACCAAAATAAGGGTTTTTAAAAAATTTTATTCACATTTTTCAATGTGAAAATGTGATATTTATTGGGGTTTTTTTCCCACATTTTTGATGGTAACTTCGATTAAAATAAATAAGGGACGTGTAATAGTTTACTTTCTCACAAATTAGATATTTTTCTCCATACATCATGTTCTCCCTAGAGAGCCAGGAGATACCAGAAAGGTACCTGAGAGGAGAATAATTTATGGAAATACTTAATATTTTTTAAGAACAGAGCGAGTCAGCAGTACTGGAAATACTATTTGTATGGAATAGTAAAGCTCACTGGTTTGGATATTATATAAATTATACTGTATATTATATTATTTTATATTATATTATATTGTCTCTAAGACTTGGCAGTTCATTAATGATTCCTCACCCCCAAACTGGAGTTTCCACCTGCACCATTGTGTTTAAAAACTGCTGTTGGACCTCACCTTGTCAGATTTTTCTAATTAATTTTAGATACTACAAGCTCTTTTTTGCATAAGTGGAAGAAATAAAAAATGGATTTTGCTCTGATTGTTTTTATTCCATTAAGAAAAAATACTAATTATAGAGGTGGGGGTGTTTTTTTTGGTTATTTTTAAATTCTTTGAACTTAAGGTGCTTAGTTTGGTGAGGTTTTTTTCTTTTGTGTCTTTAAATTTCGTTTTACAGTAGAACTCTGTGTGATTTCCTTGGTGTTTCTTCCCCTTCCCTGCCCTATTTCCTTGTTTATCACTTCAGGTTTAGATCTTACCCTGTAAAATTATGACACAACAACAGGGTTTGAACAGTGTTTGAATCAATATAAAGCAATATTAAATATATAATTATATATTACATATTTATAGATATATATTATAAGAAAGGCAGGTGTAAATAATATGTATCTTGTATATTTGTGTACATATATATATATGTAATTGTACATCTCCAAATATAGAATTATACATTATATATTTATATATATATATAATATAAGAAAGGCAGGTTACTTGCTGGTTAAAATTTTAATTAGATCTGCACAACTTGATGGTAAATGTAATTTTAGAGGCAAGTATTGATATGGAAACAGCTCCTTTTTTTTCCTTGCTCTGGTGTAAAGCAGTTGAGTGATTATTAATTTCCAGTTTCTAGGCTTTAATTCCCAGTTTGTAGGTTAAAATCCCAATCCTACTGTGTGGATTAAAAAAAGCCAACCTATTATTATTATTATTATTATTATTATTATTATTATTATTATTATTATTATTATTAAAATAAAATGATCTGAATAAGAGAGGGTCATGTCCATCTTTGAGAGGTTTCAGATCTTACCATGTAGAATTATGGCACAACAACAGAGTTTGAATCAGTGTAAAGCAATATATAATATACAATTATATAAATTATATAGTTATATATATATAATACAAGAAAGGCAGGTGTATATAATATGTATCTTATATATTTGTATATATATATGTAATTGTACATCTCCAAATATAGAATTACACATTATATATTTATATATATATATAATATAAGAAAGGCAGGTTACTTGCTGCTTGAAATTTTAATTAGATCTGCACAACTTGATGTTCAATGTAATTTTAGAGGCAAGTATTGATATGGAAACACAGCTCCTTTTTCTTTTCTTTTTTTCTTGCTCTGATGTGAAGCAGTTGAGCAGATTTTAGCCCTGCCCAGTGCTGTGGGAAGGAAATTCTGTGTCACTGTGGTGGAGCGCTGAACCCAAGCGTTGAAACCAGAGGGGATCACAAATCCCCTTGTCTGGCATCCACATGTTCAGTGGCAGCTTCAACCATAGAGATCTGATTTTTAATGCAGCTTTGCCTTTAAACACTCCAATATTTACTTCTCTCGGCCACCTTGAGGGATAATTTCTCAGACATAAACGCCAGGATTGGGTTTTACTGCCAGAATTTTCAGCAGAACATCTTCTAGGTTTCAAAATAGGGATTTGCTCCCCGAAGAACGAGAGGGGGTTTGGCACAGTTGTGATTATTTCCACACATTTGCCCATCTGAAGCATCTTAAAACTCGACTGGGAGGCTCCTGAGGCTCCAAATCCGTTTTGTTTTGGGGTAACTCGGTAGCTGCAGCGCAATCAAGAGTTCAGTGGGACCAGATTTACTTGTCTGGAGCTGCAGTTTGATTCTGGTTTTAAAATTCCCAGCCCGTTATGTCAGCCAAGAGAGCCTGAAGTGACTTTATCCTGAATAAACCTTCCTTTGAGGGTGGGAAATTTGAACTCTCAGCTAACACTGCAGTGGACCCTCATTTCAGGCTGCATTTGGACACAATTGTTTCTGAAATATTTCCCTGCATATTCCTGGGTACTGTAGAACTTGGAATTCAACTTGGAAAACTTTAAAAAATCTTTTAAAAATTCCCCGATAAGGCACAGTTACATCAAAACTCCAAAGCCTTCTTTTTAGTGCTATCGAAGTATTTTGTTTACAACTGAACCAAAAATGTATCATCTTAAAAAAACCAAGAGATTTGCTTGTTTTCTCTTGCCATCCTCAAAGCATAAACATCATCCCTGCCTTTTTAGCCAGTAGGACAAAAAAGCCAGAACCCTTTGGAATATTTACTCCAGAATGGAAATTTGCTCTTTGCTCTGGCTCAGAAGAGCTGAGAAAAACACTGAATGAAAAAGGGACTGATAAATATTTATGTCTAACTTTTTTTTTTCGCTTTTGTTAATGTATTATATTTATTATTTGAAATCAACAGTGCCAGAAATCTTTATCTGTACTGGGAAGCTTCTCCCAGTTTGTCTCTTAGCTAGGAATAAAAATGCCTTTATGGCAAAATTACTTCATGGGGGGGGAAAAAAAAACCAGATAGAGCAATAAAGGTGCATCTGTACCAGTAAAAATGTGTATTTGCTGAAGTACTTTATTGGTTTTGGGGGGTGGATTTAACGTGTGATTAATTTTTGGGGGTTAAAAGCTGTGTTTCTACCAAGCTGGTTGGGCATTTGGGAAGCCACTGTCTCAGGTAGGACGGTGCTTCTCTTAAGTGGCTTTCTGAAGATTGATAACAGTGCTGTCAATTTAAAGTACGTGTGATTTAACTCCATGGATTTGTAGGGGTTTTTCCTTCATAAATTCAGAGTTGTTTGTTGGATTTGAGCTGCCTGTGTGTGTGTGCAGCTAGGGGGGGTTTGCCTTGGCTTGGTTTTTCTTCTCCCTCCCCTCCTCAAATTGACTGTTTTGGTTTTTTATAACAAAAATTTTTGCAAACCCAGAAGAGTCCCAGAAATCATAAAACTAAACTGATTTAAGGGTTACCATTCATGGAAAAGCTCTTTGTGTCAAGGTCTGGATTCTAATAATTCTAATAATTCTAATAATAGTCCCTGCTGTTTGCTGGTGTTCTTTGTGCTTCTGAAAGGTTCTCTGAGGGGATGTTTTTTTACACTCTGTAGCTCCTTTTTTCCCCTCTTTTTGCCCTTAAGAGAATGAAATTACCTAGGAATTGTCTCCTAATTTAACAGTTCAGAGCTCTCCTGGCCTGGTTCTTGTATCTCAGTGATATTTCCTCTTGTACCTCAGTAAAGTTTTGTGACACTTGTCACACAGTCACAAATTGACAGAGGTGGGATAAGTGCTAAATATTTTAGCTCATTTTCCTTCTTTCTCCTAAGTCTTCTTACACTCTACACACCTTTGTTAGTGTAGTTTCCTGATAGAACTGCTTGTTCTTCAGTAAAATCTGTAAACTTTGGGGTTCCAACAACTTGGTAGAGGTGAAAGCATAAAAGAAACTGAGTTTGTACAGCAAATTTTATAACGTAGAGTCCAGGGCAGGATGATTTTCATGGGTAGTTCTGTGCCCAGGTAGCCTGTCAGGATTCCCTGGCAATAAAGAATCAGAATCACAGGATCATGGAATCATCAAGGTTGGAAGAGACCTTCAAGATGATCCAGTGCCACCCTCACCCAGCACCACCAGGATCACCCCCAATCCACATCCCCAAGGGCCACATCCAGACACCTCTGGGACACTCCCACACACAGGGACTCCACCACCTCCCTGGGACACTTCTTGCAAGGCCTGAGCACTCCTGCAGGGAGAAATTGTTTCTGATCTCTGCTCTGACCCTGCCCTGGGGCACTTTGAGGCCATTCCCTCTCCTCCTTTCCCTTGGGATGTGGCAGCAGAGCCCGACCCCCCCTCCCTGCCCCCTCCTGTCAGGGAGTTGCAGAGAGCAATGAGGTCCCCCCTGAGCCTCCTCTGCTCCAGATGAACCCCCCCAGCTCCCTCAGCTGCTCCTCACAGGACATGTTCTCCAGATAACGCCCCCCATCTCCATTGCCCTTCTCTGGACACTCTCCAGCACCAAAAAATCCTTTTCAAAATTGTTCTTTTCTGGACTCTCTTCAGATCCAAAGACCTTGGCTGGATCACTGAGGGTCATTAAATTGACACCTTGCCTTGGAAAACTGGTTTGGTTCTGAAAAAAAACTGCCTGTGCTGCTGAGAAGCATTTAACTGGTCCAGTTGAGAAAGGAGAGAGAGAGAAGAGAAGATGTGGGAGATCACAGAATGGTTTGGGTTGGAAGGGACTTGAAAGATCATCCAGTGCCACCACTGCCATGGGCAGGGACACCTTCCACCAGCCCAGGTT